GTTTACGTAATCCCTGTGTTCCTGGCTCTCGCCTGGCAGCACTTTTTACTAGGAACTAGAGGAAATGCAAGCCGATAAGCACAGAAACGTCACTCTGAATTGCAACTACTACTATACGTAAGTATTGCAACTACTACGTAAGTATTGCAACTACTACGTAAGTATTGCAACTACTACGTAAGTATTGCAATTACTACGTAAGTATTGCAACTAATACGTAAGTATTGCAACTACTACGTAAGTATTGCAACTAATACGTAAGTATTGCAACTACTACGTAAGTATTGCTACTATACATAAGTATTGCAACTACTACGTAAGTATTGCAGATGGTGAGAGAGGGATCTGCAAGAACTTGTTATCATATAGATTAAGCACCGTCTACATTTGGTACAGTTCTGATACATAACCATGAAAATGCAAGAGAAGGTCACAACTAAGAATCCTCAAGAAATAAAGATTAGCAACATATTATGATATGACTATAGTAAGCACTCTTGGAACACGCCTACTGTACCTTGATCATGGTTGCTGGATTCGCTACTCAATTCTAGGCTCCGTATACTTACACAGCTGTTAAAACGAGTAGAAGAAGTCATATAAAACGTCATAAGGCTTCAAGCACACTGTTACACCTGTGACATGACATGTTTTGGTTATCAAGGGAGCGATCTGTTGACAAATCGTTGGCACTGAACGAAATACATGAAGATACACCAGCTTGTGATAAGTTGTATGCAGTAGCCTACAAGGGTGCAAGCAAAAGCATAAACAAAGGCACAGCACGTGAGCTGGGGCAAGCTAGAAAAGACAAAAAGGGAGCACAAGGCCCACTATATGGTGCCGGGACCATGCCCGAAACTAGCAGCTCAGTGCCTACAAGCAACCTAGTCCCTCAAAAAGTAGTCCCCAGCATATCATTGTCTCCAGTGAGAACGAGCATATGTATTAACAGAGTAACAGGAAAGGGAAGGAGTAAACGAGCTGCTCTCCTCGCTGGGAGGACAATGCCCGAATACTCACCTCACTTTAAAGTGTTCCCTCCATTAGGCAGAGCTTACTGCCCAGCGTTACCGCATGTTTATATTCAAGAGGTTAACACCATGAGGCATGAAACTTCAGCTCTTGTACCTTCGCTGAGGTATGTGGCATGGCTAGCCGTAAAAATCAATAAAGAAGTGGGATAAATGCTAATTAGACCCGTATTGTTCGATAAGTGAGGAGGGGTGGTAACGAGGGTATAACTATCAGTAGATTTGGTAATTACTTCCAGGTGATCACGGGGGGGGGGGGGGGGGGGGGGGGGGGGGGGGGGGGATGGGGGAATTAAGTTAATAATCCTGATTTGCATCTTCAATTTGCATCTTTGACTAAATCCGCTGCCTCCTTCGCTCGGTTAACACAACTCTAATAAAATATTGCTCAGTCATTACAGCAGAAGCCAGTGCAGCGAGAGGGAACGGGCTGCTTCAGAGAAGACAGAATCGAATTACCAAGCGAGAAATTCCAAGGTAATGCTAAATGTACAAATAGTTGAGATGTAAATTGAACCGAGCTCACAGGTACTGAGGTACTACTTTGCATGACCTGTGTCCAGGGAGGGCAGGCACATGAATAATCAAGTAGCAGGTTACATGTGACAGGCTCCCTCGGAGGGTAATTGGTCATGATTGAAGGTTGATATACCGTGAGTGAGATCTGGGTTGACAAGTGCAGTGACACTGTGATTGATTGTAGGAGTGGGGGTTGTGTGGAAGTGTGTGTGTGTGTGACAGAATATAAACTGTATTGTGGCCATGCATAATTAATTATAGTAATACGATGCAGTAAAACTGTTGTGTGCTGAAACCTGTGAAGGTGACAGGTGTCCTTGGTCGTTTAACTTTTTATTTTCGTAGATTATTTCGAATGGACAGTATTGACTCATCGATTATAATTGAGTTTGTCCGAATAATTGCCGATAAGGTATTTTACGATATTTGCACAAATAATCATAAAATTTAATACATATAAGAAACTCGAATCCCGCATGTTAAGCCAAGAAGTTAGAACAATCATAACAACGAAATAACATAATGAACGGGTTGATCCGTGATAATAGTTGGATCTACTCAATGTTATACTTTGATGAATCTGTTCTTGAAGATTCGAACCATCGTAGCATCGGAATAGGAACACAATATACGCTCACCTGCTACTATTGAGTATTGCAACTACAAATTCCAGACCCGTTTATTTCGAGATTGTAGTTTGTTCAAATAATTGCTCATAAGATATTTTAATATATTTGTACTAATTTAATATAATTAACTTGCTCCACTCTAACATTTAGGAAACATTGTAAAATTTTGAACCAATAAGTCGTCTAAATAACAGTAATTAGTGCTCGCCACTTGATCCTTTTCAAGGCAAAATCCCTAAATTTAAAGAGGTCCTTGGCATTTCTTAAGCTTAATAAATCTTAAATAGAATTAAGGTAGGATATTAACAAGTTAAATAAATTAATTTGATGTCGACTCTTTAAACTCATTAAATAAGACAAATTTAAGGAATGAGACTGGAGAGGTACATTAATCTGATCGTAACAATTTTATTAAATGCAGCATGTCCAAGATTACAACGTGAATGTCCTAATTCTACTGCAAAGCAATGATTTATAGGTTCTCAAGATTTATTGGTTCTCAAGTTTTTCCATTCGGATGCTTTTTCTACCAGGAGTTAGTTTTTTAGAATCAGTCAGATGAACATGAGCAAACTCAGTTTCCGATTAATTTTCAAATTCAAGTTCCACTCAGATAAGATTTGCTTGGTGGAAGGCAGCATGATCTCGAGCTCAAAAGTCTGGCAGCCAAATATTCCACCCTGTTATACATTGGGAGGATGATTCACATACCCAGGATATCGACAAATGATTAAATATCAAAGTTGTCTGTTCCTCTTAGATTTATTAACGACCAAAAAATTCTAAATCGACCAAAAAATCCACGCTCCTACCATGCCCTTTCTTTTCGCCTGTCACGCTCTTATTTTACATCCTACAGTAAATTGTTCTGTTTTGGTCAACTCAAAAGTAAAAACACTTACGATACAGGTGATGAGGTTGGTGCTGACCGTTGTTGCCCGGCTCAGACAAGTCGTGAGAGCAGAACCCTGCATTTTATCAACTGCCTTCCTCCTTTGTTCTTCACAAGAAAAAGTGCAACAGCCAACTCAAGACCAAACGATCAATGCAACAGTAAAAAGAGAGCTGTTGGCTTTATAACCCTGATACTCCTCTAAGTGTTGACAATCAAAGCGTAAGAAAATCCGGCAAAATTAGCTTTATCCTGATCATGACCCTCCTTGGTCTATGATTAGTTCACTGGAGACGAGGTGGAGACCAGTCAGTGGTGGCTTGTTCACCACTAATTTCACTGTAGATCAGGGAGATTGTACCGAGTAACATTGATTTACTGTCTAGAGCCATTCACCTTTACCGACAGCTTCAAATCACAGCTTCTTCTTATGTATCGAGATCTTTCCATTTACCAACCAAATTTTGCACGCACTTATAAATAATTGGTTATATTTTTTTCCAAAATATCATGATAATGAGGGAGTATCCGATAGAAAGGGAAATAAATGTTAATATTTCAAATCAATGGTTCTCTCTATTATCGACTTAACTCATCATTTGTCGCTTGTCCATTTCCTGAAAATTAGTTTGCCAGCTCATAATATTAGCTAGACAGCTCTTCTATGCAGAATCAACTCAGTAGACACTACGAGAGGATAGTCTTCTTGATTTCCTGGTCCTGTATTGAAAGTCGAAGCCTCCAGACAAATGATCAGTCATGATTAACTTTTTATTTTTGGTGTATTATATATTATATATGTTATATCCATATTGTGAAATTAGTTGAGTACACTGTAATCATGATTCTAGTGTTGATTTCACAAAATGAATCTATCTAAGCACTCATTTAAAGCGTGTTAAAGCTTTAAATTAGAATAAACTTACCTTGCAGTCACATTAATCCCAATAGACATTCCACGTGGAATTAATGGCAGAAAAAATCATGACTCTCGTCTAGCAAACAGAAAACCCTTGTCATTGAAACCGCTGTCATGCGAACAGTAGTATTTATCTTCTCTTCGACCCCCGCCCAACATTATTGCAGGTATTACTATAAAATCATATAATATGTATACATAAATATATAAAATCATTCTCATTATGCACACTGGTATAAACTATTAAACCAAAACGAGGAGTAATTTTTCAGGACGGTCTTACCTCCCTCGCAAAACTGATGAGCCTGCATTGGTCCATGACTTGACCTTGTGACTGGGATGCGTTTATTGAGACAACATCAGGCATATTTGAAAGAGATTTCTGGAGCTGTTCTGATGTTGGTTTCAAAAAATGCGAGATCAAGGTGTTGAGCAAGGAACAATTAATGGTGCAATTGAACGGAAATAAGATGGAATTGTTTAAGTGTTTCTTCTGATCGCATTAATATCTATCGATTGTTAATTGAGGTTAAAAGCTTTGAGTGGCAGGAAATTAGGTTTCAGTCCAGCAATATTTGAATGTTTCCCCTGCGTTTTATAATACTGATGTGAAATTGACCAGAGGTTTTCCTCGTGTAATGTTAATAACTTAATGGAACAATCTGGAGGCGGTTTATTCATGTACAGCTTTTACTTAGAGCTTTCGAGATAAGCAAAAAGATGGAACCTTTTAATCCACCATCTTACCATGTCTTAAATTAAAATACACTTTTAGGCATGTGGAGGATGTCATTAGGTTCTGTGTTCAGTCACAAAATGAACTCTAAATTCGGTATCGGTCTAGACTAATCTGAAGTTTACAAGAAATCGATTAACACGTATTGTACAAAATCAAAAATATAAACTCTGAAAGAAATCAGAACACAGACCCTATAGAGCCGTACAAGACAAGTTCCTACAAACATTTAAATTTAGAAATAAAAAAATAAAAAAGGACGCTTACGCACCTCATATTTTTCCTGGAGGAGACCGCTGTGGCTAAATTTTATATTGTCTGCAGTTGCACTACTCTGAACATAATAAGAAACAAATTAACACTCTGGGGTCATTGGAGATTCAGAATATGAACTAAGCAACAAACAAATCCGGCACACAAAAGGAACAAAAAATAAAGACAAGCTATGAAATAATGAAATATAGTGCTGACTTTAAGTTTAACCCGCAAAATTTCAAAAACAAAATTACAACAAAATGATATTAAAAAATAAAAGACTGACCTCGTATTTGTTTTGGAGGAGGGCGCCGTGACTTCCATCGTCGTTCTGTCCGTAGAGGGCTGACGACACCAGTACAGTGCCCTGGGTCCCCATTACCACACCTGAAACAAATCTTCATTGATCACAGTTGTCAGTAAAGTCACAAATTTTACAGATTGCAAAACTAGGGTTTGCAAACTGTCATCAAACTAATATGCAAATTTTTTATTTTAACAGTTATTACTTATTATATTCAATTCCATGGTTTCTTCGTGAAATGTGGAATATCGTGTCGTAGTGATTATTGGCACTTGAAGCATACTTCAAGAATCAATATCCGTGTACTTTGTACAATTTACATAATATTTCTTATTCAAATGTTGGCTCGGATATACGTCCTCTTTCAGATTCCTGTCTGTAAACTTCTTATAGCTAGAAATCAATGAAAATTGAAAATACACGTTAATGAGCATCGTGGGTAATTAATGTTAAAAGTGAAAATGAATTCAATTCTGTGTCATAATGGTTAACAGTCATTAGCTAAATTAATGAGTTATTACTAGCCCCACACCCATTTTAAGTCAGAAATATTATATTCAATACCCTACCTCCAAATATTAGCACAGGAAGAAGCTCACAATATACTGAGGCAATGCGCAAGTTTGTCAGAACTCACGTCTGAGCTTTAGCTCGTATCGATGCCCTATTGTCACGAAACCCCGTTAAACCGAGCCAGCCTTTATCATTTAAATGTTCGCTACTTCAAAGTCGACTAAGTTAAGATTCCAAACAAAGTTAACGGAGTCATCAGCAACTTTTACCACTTAATTAGCAATTATCGGGAGCCCCTTTGTATTTGTAATCAGCCAGTCCCCCGGTACAGTGGGTTCACCTCAATAATCACTAACTATCAGGCTATTGAACGATCTGAGACCCACACCACCACAAATATAGAATGAACAGACAGCAAATCTGGCCTCTGAAAAGTGAAAGACATCTGTGGTCTTATAGTAAGTACCACATCTAAAATTTAATGCATTACTAATCAAGGATGAATAGCTCAAATGAACGTGTCCTTACTGCCCAAGACGTTGCTGCTAATGATTAAATGAATGGACAAAAGGATGTCATGAGTCATTACAATCAGTAGTCAGTACCCATTGAGGAACATTGAGGTAATTCTTATTTCTATAAACATCAGACGTTGTCCTGTCAGAAAAGATGGAATAGTTTAAGTGTTTCTCCTGATCGCATTAATATCTATTGATTGTTAATTGAGGTTAAAAGCTTTCAGTGGCAGGAAATTAGGTTTCAGTCCAGCAATATTTGAATGTTTCTGCTGCGTTTTATACTGATGTGAAATTGACCAGAAGTTTTCCTCGTGTAATACTAATAGCTTAATGGAACAATCTTAATGGAACTCAAACTTAAACAGTACACACAAGTAAAGTGTGCAGCCGAATCCTCTGACCTGGACAGAAAGAAAACAGAAGAGACACAAAGCAAAATCCCAGCCTTTAGGGCACAAATAAGATAAGCAAGCACTTCAAAGGTGATAATCTGAAAGTGTAAATAACAGCCGACCTTTACTGAGGAGATAGCGTCTACGACAGGGCCTCAGCTGGATACTGTCGGACAATTGTCTGTAGAGTTCAGGAGTTCCTCAAGGCAATGTTACCACACCATACCGTATCAATGTTATACTATCATACTATAGAGATGTACATCTGTATCATATCTGCAGCCTGACTAGGAGTAACTGTACTGGAGCAAATTGTTTGGGTATTACCTTATTACCCGTGACTGTAAGGGGTAGACGTGCTTGTAAAGTGTTGCGTGTTAATAGCGTGTTGCAGTCTGCGTGGCAAGGTGTTTATAAGGTCTCATTACGACCATGCAGTGCAGTGTCTGGGTTACTCATAGGGCATTTAAACAGCTATTCTGGCTTCCTTAATGGCGTAAAAACGGCAAGTATATACCTGCAGTTCTGTATATATATACAGAATACCTGGAATTGGCACGCAGTTTTAATTTCATCGCTAATATTCAGGCAATTACGGTAAAAAGAGGGCTCTGAGGCTTGTAGAGTGTAGACATGCAGATGTGACTACATAACCAAGCAATCATGTAATACAGTTGTTGCTACCATATACTCGCCTGGTCCTGTGATAACTATCTTTGGGATTGGGGGTCTTGTTATAACTATCTTTGGGATTGGGGGTCGCATAATGAGTTAAGTATATTATGCTGATCAGTTATCCTAACCTCTGAACAACTAGGGAACTGAAAAATAAAACACCACAAAGGAAGAAAAACGAAACTAGGCGTTTAACAATTGTCTGAAGGACAAATTATTAATAATTAAGTTTAAATTATTAAATTATTAAGTATAAATTATTAATTTAAATTATGAATTATAAATTATTATTAATTATTAAGTTTAAATTATTAAGTACAAATTATTAATTATTAAGTATTTTCATTGTGCAATTCTGATCATCATTCACTTTAATTACTTTCTCATTTGCAAAAATTGAGTGATTTTTCATAATCAAGTATTTTAATTGTGTAATTATAATCATCATACACTTAAATTATCTTTTTATTTGCAAATATGGTAGTGATTCGATAATTATAATCAAATCACAATTGAATTTAAATTACCTTTTCATTTGCAAACATGGAGTGATTTTGTTCAGAACTTATACTTATAGCCGTTTGAAATCCTACACATAGCTTTCACCCTGTATATGTGCGACCCAGCAGAGAATTCTCCGCGACTGCAGAGAATTCTCCGCGATTTTCAATACCAGAAATTATCGGCGCATGGGAGCGCCCTTAGATAGATTCTAAAATTATTTGTTTAAAACGGCTTTGATCACAGTCGCCTCCACATATAGTTTACCACCGGTGTGTATTTTAATTCTGCCGAAGATTTATAAAAGGAAAATCGCGTGTCGTAGGGATAAATAAATCTGTGGGCACAGTAACGGACAATATTTAAATCGAACTGATCTGAATTGAACAATTTGGAGGCTTCTGCACTGTACTCTCCAGCCTTTCACTTGGGTTCGTAATTAATATCATTCCATATTTCACGGAAAAATAAACGCTCTTAATTTTGTGTACGGGTGGTGCTAATCTAAAATTACCTTTTGACTTTTTAAAGGCATTGCCCGCCTTATGAACGAGAAATGCCTTATGGATACCGTTGACATCACCACTTGCTAAAAGATGGTCCGAGTTCCGTCTTGAGCCACTTCCTATACCACTCGCGGTGGTTGACAAGAGAGCCACTTTGTGTTCGCTTCTAACTGCCCTAGTCCCACTTAAAAGTTATGCTATAAGCTGATTTATTCACTGCTTCTAACTGTGACCCTTTAAGACTGACTCTATCTACTTGTCACGAGGATGATCCAAGAGAGTGTGCTGCTTCGCTTCTGAAACGGGCCCAGGGAATCCTCGACACACGATTTCAACAAAAACAGCACTGCACGTCCTGTTGCAACATCAAAAATAGAAAAGTACAATATAGAAACGACAAGAAAAAAGTAAAAATACAACAGCAATAAATAAACCGGAAATGATTAGCAACTATAAACTAAGTTTATAGCACCAGAACTTATCGGCGCATGGGAGCGCCCTTAGATAGATTCTAAAATTATTTGTTTAAAACGGCTTTGATTACAGTCGCCTCCACATATAGTTTACCGCCGGTGTGTATTTTAATTCTGCCGAAGATTTATAAAAGGAAAATCGCGTGTCGTAGGGATAAATAAATCTGTGGGCACAGTAACGGACAATATTTAAATCGAACTGATCTGAATTGAACAATTTGGAGGCTTCTGCACTGTACTCTCCAGCCTTTCACTTGGGTTCGTAATTAATATCATTCCATATTTCACGGAAAAATAAACGCTCTTAATTTTGTGTACGGGTGGTGCTAATCTAAAATTACCTTTTGACTTTTTAAAGGCATTGCCCGCCTTATGAACGAGAAATGCCTTATGGATACCGTTGACATCACCACTTGCTAAAAGATGCTCCGAGTTCCGTCCTGTGCCACTTCCTATACCACTCGCGGTGGCTGAACAGAGAGCCACTTTGTGATCGCTTCTAACTACCCTAGTCCCACTTAAAAGTTATGCTATAAGCTGATTTATTCACTGCTTCTAACTGTGACCCTTTAAGACTGACTCTATCTACTTGTCACGAGGATGATCCAAGAGAGTGTGCTGCTTCGCTTCTGAAACGGGCCCAGGGAATCCTCGACACACGATTTCAACAAAAACAGCACTGCACGTCCTGTTGCAACATCAAAAATAGAAAAGTACAATATAGAAACGACAAGAAAAAAGTAAAAATACAACAGCAATAAATAAACCGGAAATGATTAGCAACTATAAACTAAGTTTATAGCACCAGAACTTATCGGCGCATGGGAGCGCCCTTAGATAGATTCTAAAACTATTTGTTTAAAACGGCTTTGATCACAGTCGCCTCCACATATAGTTTACCACCGGTGTGTATTTTAATTCTGCCGAAGATTTATAAAAGGAAAATCGCGTGTCGTAGGGATAAATAAATCTGTGGGCACAGTAACGGACAATATTATTTAAATCGAACTGATCTGAATTGAACAATTTGTGATTTGGAGGCTTCTGCACTGTACTTTCCAGCCTTTCACTTGGGTTCGTAATTAATATCATTTCATATTTCACGGAAAAATAAACGCTCCTAATTTTGTGTACGGGTGGTGCTAATCTAAAATTACCTTTTGACTTTTTAAAGGCATTGCCCGCCTTATGAACGAGAAATGCCTTATGGATACCGTTGACATCACCACTTGCTAAAAGATGGTCCGAGTTCCGTCTTGAGCCACTTCCTATACCACTCGCGGTGGTTGACAAGAGAGCCACTTTGTGTTCGCTTCTAACTGCCCTAGTCCCACTTAAAAGTTATGCTATAAGCTGATTTTTTCACTGCTTCTAACTGTGACCCTTTAAGACTGACTCTATCTACTTGTCACGAGGATGATCCAAGAGAGTGTGCTGCTTCAATTCTGAAACGGGCCCAGGGAATCCTCGACACACGATTTCAACAAAAACAGCACTGCACGTCCTGTTGCAACATCAAAAATAGAAAAGTACAATATAGAAACGACAAGAAAAAAGTAAAAATACAACAGCAATAAATAAACCGGAAATGATTAGCAACTATAAACTAAGTTAGTGTGTGTCATTAGTACCATACCCTAAACATAATATCTCCAATTATCGGAGTCATTATGTATGTTATACTTATCAAATATCGACACACCCAGTTTCTGATGATATTATTATTAGTATTACGATTAAGCTGTATAATAATAACTTATAGTATATAATAACTTGTAGCAAATTTGAATATCTTATACTTCATTCATTAGGTTATCATGTCCACTTACTATAAGAAGTTTATGTGCGGTCGGGCAACTGCTTTTGATCTTTGACAGAAAACATGCATCGGGTATGAGAGACCAGTATATGAAACGTATTTCAGTCAACCAGCTGCGAATAGTGTCTTCTCAGTCGTGGAGCAGCAACGAAGCAAGGGGCAGGGAAGACCAATATAGCAACAATTATCAAGGAATACAATAGGTCAGAGAAATGGTATCACTTGAGCACTACTGAAATTAATAATACGCAACACAATAACAACTGCCTCCGACAATCTAGCTTCAAGTGGGCTGATGAAGGCAAGCATAATATTGCCTCAGGCATATTATGTTTCCTTATAGATTAATTTCGGGTTATGAAGCATTAGTCATTAGTTACACGACAATCGACATTGGAAATCACAATGAACCCTGGATGCCAATCCTAGCTATAAGGTTAATCATGTTTACTGTTTAACAGTCGACCTCAATTTTGATTACGATATTTTTTATAAAGGGTTATTATATGTATACTGATGACTTAAACATTGGAGCCTAAAATCCTTCTGTAATTGAAATTGAAAAGTGAGGCAGGTCAGAATCATTTGGAAGTTAAGATCAAGTTCTTTTAAAATTTAAGAAATTGTTGGCTTCTAAATTTTAAGGCTATACGATCCCTATTGTATTTAATGGCTACGTTTTTAAATCAAGGTAAGGCTAGGGTTTCTGAATTGAAGGCCAAGTAACTTTAAATTTTTAAAGCTAGGTAACTGATATGCTTCCTCACTCCTCATATACAATCGAGTGTGAGCCATCTCAAATACAATCGAGTGTGAGCCATCTCAAATACAATCGAGTGTGAGCCATCTCAAATACTCCGCTTTCAATTATCGGAGAGCAATTTCCACGTTGTCAAACTAATATAACTGAATTCCAAAAAGAAATATCAAGTATTCCTTAACACAAACCTAAGTGTAGGCTAATCGAGTAATCGTTTCTCAACTTATGCAAACCTAATAAATGTGAGTAATTTTGTAACTTGTGAGTATATTTTATTTTATTGACGTGACGTAACGCTGAGTTGTATAGGTAATTCGTGTATTTGGACGTCACCCAAGTGATGTTTTCCGTCTCACGTTTGCTGCAGCGGCCCGCACAACTGCAGTAAACGAGGTATATTGATCAACCCAGAAATGTTACCTAAGTAAAGGTACGGTAATAATAAACTGTTATAATCTATACAGCTCATATTGATAAGCCTTGCCTTGTAGTACCTATTGTGTGTACACGAGGATCACCATTGTCTAGTGTATCTATAACCCGGCCTGGCCAGGGATCCTGTGACCTACACACTTCACTTTGTGGCCTTACGTAAATTGTCACGATTAGGACAATTGTCACAATTCACAATTGTCACAATTCACGTACAATTGTCTATCGGTAGTCTATAATAGTTGTTTGAATTTTAATAGGACTAAGCCATCCGCGTTCGCGGATACTGTTTATCAATGTGTTTATGTCCGTTAAAGGTGACCAGTTTTTATTGTACATAATGTGATGTTTTGTCAATAATAAGACTTCGATAACGGCTCACAGATAGTTCATTGTTCATATGTTGCTTGACCTCAGTTCGAATACCTTCAAACGAAGACGATCGCGAAGTACAGAGAGAATAAGCGCATCTACACGTATAATATGACCAGATTGTGATAAAAAATAATAACCAATCTTTGCTGTTTTTAAATTTTTGATATTAAAGAGAATGTTGATATGTATTTAGTTTTTGTGAGCGTTGGTGATGCTGAAAACTGTAAGGATAAACTTAAAACCAACCAACCAACCTGTTATTTGGTTGCTCATCACGCAAACAGGCCAAACGAAAAGAAAACCAGCTCAGATTCCAAAAAGAATGACCACTGCAAGGATCACTAGATGGGATCAAGACCAAAGTGACCACTGATTGGATTACAGATGTGAAGGAAGACAGATTACACTTCTCAGATGAGATCACAACTTCCTTTAAAGAGCCAGCATAGATCTCAGATCAAAATGAAGATTGGATAGGATGAACTGACCATGTCAGAGAAAAATGAGAAATACTGCTCAGAATAAATTAGGAGGATTCCAGATCAACTGGACAATAGCCTGTTCAAAAGTGAATATGTCCGGAATCGCGCTGAACAGCCAACACTTGATATGTTGATGGAGCCGCTGAAGTGACTTTGTTTGCCATTACCAGGGCACTTCCCCGACCAGTCTGGACGAGTAACCTGGGAATTATCAGTTGGTAAACAGAGGAGGATCAGGCATTGTGGCTCCTCAATCCAGTCCTGCTTCACCCCAAAAGTGTCACCAGCATTCCAAGCACACAGTTACCAGTTTTCTTTCTCCAAGTCACTCGAAATCATTGTGCCAGTCAGTGGGAGCATTTATTCCAGTAATTTCACCGGCTGATAATAAGCTAATATTATGCCGATTGGGCAGATTCTTCCCGGTATAACTAATGCATAACTACTCACTACCTACTCAAGGAGGTGGAGTTGGTGGTTGCCCTTAGTCATGACGCGGATACGCAAATTCCCCCGAATATTTTTGTGCCAGGATCGACCATTGGTAAAGACAATAGATTTGAAGATATTAGCCATGAGCTTGCTGGCCAAATCGACAGCATCCTATACTCAAATGGGACCAAAAGGAGTCAGTTCAAATTTCCATTGGTGGTCATCTTAATAAGGTTAGTAAATTATGCTTCGGATCAACTCAATTTCCTATCAATATAATTGCCGATCAAGTAAAAGTGTGATGGTACGTGGTACATCAGTGAACAATCATGATCATGAGCGTATCCAGTGAAATTCAGGGAACTCCATCTTTAAAGTCTTATAAATGGACCTGATGTGTATCCTTTGATCAGTGGGGTGACATCATTCACCCCCTTCACTGTTTCCCCGGAATTGTTTGATTATTGCCATGACCGGGAAATCTATCGACGTTATAATTCTCCAAAAAGGAATCAAAAGTGCCTGTTTTGCAATTGAGACGACTAATTCAAGAATTTCAAGAATTTCATTTTCTGTTTTTCTATTTTCGTCATTAAAAAAACCAAGAACAGTTGGCTGGATCGAACTAACTTGAAGAAGATTGACTATCTGAACATGGTGAGTGACGTGGTACGATTTCGTTGTCACCTTCAATCTTTAGCTGATCACAGGTAGATTTATGTGTGCTCTGCAGGTTGAGATATCTAGTGAAATATATGAACATGCCGCTTACACAAAAATGAAACGATCAACCGAACGCGAATGGGGTAGAACAAATAAAACGAATGGGGAAAACTGGAAAAGAACTGTACGAGAACTGGAAAAGAATCAAATGGTGTAAAAAACACAACCAAATAATATTGGTCCTAACTCCAAACTCTCAGTAACAGTCCGGAAAAGGGCTGGCTCGATGTACACCGAATTATGTAGCTGTAATTATAAAATATACCCGGGATCGCCACTTCACTAATCAAGAGTTAGCCATTGAGCAACATTGTAATTGATTCTCTTGGAAGGAGCATCAGCAACGGTCGTGGAAATAAATTATAGATTTCTTTCCTCCATTGGCTTATATTTAGAAACAATGAAATAAGTTATAAAGTAAGAGTATTTTTAGGTTTAACTTTATTTATCGGCATAGAATTAGATAGATAGGATAGTTCACGTATAATTATCATCAGTTATTATTTAGTAAGTAACAATGGTATACTGATAATTTCGATATTAACCTGATATGGCGAGTGTTCCTGGTTCCTGTTTGCTCTGGATTCACTTGAGAACTGGAAAATAAATCAAAACAGCTTAGTTATGAGATGGAAGGGACGAAAACGATATCACCAGAAAATTGTATTCTTTGTAAAGAGCTCTCCCACACGTGTGTAACTTCTGGGACAATGCCTTTTTTTCTGGTTTCTGGGCAGACTAATCCTGAAATCCGGAATCTTTGTCCAAATATATTCTGCTACCTTAGCCAAAGTGAGTCATCTTAAGATATAAAAGTTGTTGAGATAAAGTTGAAATAACTAAGCAAAGTAATACTGACTGAATGTACTTATCCTAATCCTACAAAGAGCAAAGTGAGAGTACGCAAACGGTAAGGAGGCAATTCCGGCGACCTCTTTTCCCAGATCACTGTGAAGCGATCATGCAGTTCATCACCATAACAATCTCTTCAGAAACGACAGTACATTACCATGACAATACAATCTATAATAGCGCTGATGGGGCCCCTTTGTGCGGCCTAAACGAGTGTAGTCTGTGCTCCAGATCTCGATATAATACTATGTACATATGGTGGGGAGCGGTCTGTCTCGGGACTCATTTGTTCCAAACAGACGGCAATGATCCACGTCTTTAGGAGGCTGGTTGTCTGGCTGATAATTGCTGCTATGGATAACTTCATACTTTCACACAACTCCGCACTGCAGTATTACAAATACATAGCAAATTGCAAGGTGCACTGTCTCTGTAAAAATATATAAAAGTTGAGACAGTATTGCCAGTATCATAGCAGTTGATTAATGACAACTTGAGATAAATAATCACACTTTAGTGATTGATAAGAGTGTTCTAACGGCTTCTTGTAAGCCTGCCTCTTACAGGTCTCTTCAAAACAATCTTTGTATTGTTAGCGACAATGTTTTACTTCATTACATATAATTATATTTCAAACATAATTTAATTTTAAAGGAACAGTTTTCCGGCGCTCACCTTGATTTTCAATCCACAATTAGAAGTTAGAACGATGCCTTGATCCGTGCCTAGGTTAAATTTTCATCCAAAAGCACTTCGACAAACAACAATGAACACTAAACAACGATATGAAACGCGATAATTACTAGTTTTAGCGATGATTAGATACTAATTAGCTGATGTTCTCAGGAAAACGACGTGAGTAAAGAAAGGACGAAAAATGCCCGATTTTAATCCCAAGCCAAAATGTCGATAATTATTGTGGAAGCGAGTCGATAGTTTGATTTCCTGCTTCAATTTCTAAGTAAATACAAAATTATGAGTAAAATTGTGTGGAAAAATATGTCCTATTCTATTAAGTGATGGACACTGTAATTCACTTTTGCCCATCTTATTAATGTTTAAGTTAAAGCGAGACAATGAATAGCAGAATTACGGAAATGTGATGATATATGTCAACAATTTCGTTGCATAATACATCATAAGATCATTGCACATCACACATATCAATAGCACATGGGAAAATTCGTGCGTGATTAGAATTTAGAATAATTCAAAACTGCAATTGAAGCTCGGACTGGGTATTACTCTACGATCGCTGTAAGACTGCGAATGTAAAAACGAATAATTTCTTGCAAAAACAAGTTATAAACTCATTAAACTAAAAGAATTTTAAATTCTGGATTCTTAGTAATGTAATCCCACTGTCATGCAAGATTAACTTTGCTAACCTCTAGCGCTGCCGTGGGCCCCCGTTGCTGCTGTTCCTGTAACCTTCACTGTTGCTGGTGTTCCTGTAACCCTCACTTTTGCTCTTTTACTGATTTCCCGCATTAAAAACTACAAAACTCGAGAGAAGACGATCTCAGTAAAATCGGGGAACAAAGAACTGTAATAGCCCAAGATCGCCCTGGTTTATAAGATCTAGCTGGATCAACTAGCAAAAAAGCTAAACGGCGTTTAACTTTACCTGGTCCAGAAATCCAGAAGATGAGAAGCCGACATTATCTTTTACAATAATTATGCTATTTTTTGTGAGTTTTTACCGATCCACATTCCCTACTAAGTAGCCCTATTTTCGGATTTTCGTTAATCTAGTTTCCACGCGATCTAAAATGTTACTTCTGGAACCAAGATGATTGGGAAAATTATTACATTTATCTATGAAGAGGTGTGTTACAGACAATCGTGCCAATTGATTCTCGTGATTCAGAAGGATTACAAGAATGTTCCATGATTAATTTGATTATATACCATGATAAAACTGGGATCTATAGTACTGTTCCTAGCTGTAGTAACTGTGCAGTGATTAAATCGAGACATTATTCAATTTCCACGCACTTTACCATGTCTAAAACTCGACTGCTCTACCGCACAAACGATGAATATTGTCAACTTGACTTATTCCTATCTTCCCATAATTTTGCCCAACCGGCAACACTTTTCTAAAAGTTTAGTGCGCGCACAAAATTAGTATTTTCGTGACTTTTAGGAGTAGGACTTGCAGGTTTTAGGTTTAAACTTTAATATTTGATAACAAACCAGTATTTTCTGAGAACCATGAAATATGATGGGCATCCATGGACCCCATACATAAATTATGGAATTGTGGCAGTAATCTGACCAAAATTCAACATTGCAACTACGACTTAATTCTAACCGCCCGTATTATTTGCCATCGATGGATGAAATACAGTTTGCTTTACAGTTACAGTTTCACAATCTATTTCGGAAATTCAACGATGACGAACGTACTATAAGACTAAGAGCTTGGATGTCAATAAATATTATGTCCCATATAGTTTAAGGTAGAGAAGGATGGCTGAGATTGCGTTAAGAGCTTACTTTCACAATTGTGACACGTGGTAAGAATGCTCAAGAATTTATAAAACTTACTTTCGGTTCTGAAACCTCCCGATTTAGGAGACCCGTTGTATTGTTCCTGGCAGGTTTCAGAGGACAAATCTGTGTAAATGAACATGACCACTGAAAACATTATCATAAGTTGGTCGAAGAGGCGTGATGCTCCATTTCTGATAGGGATTCAATAAAAAGTTTTCCCATAAAATTGCGTTACCATTTTAGGAGGAGAAATTTATTTTCAAGCATCAAAAGACTTTTTGACTTCTGAGATCATTGTATAATCGAAGCAAAAACGTGTCATGATTCTTACCGAAGAAATCTGATGAGAATATTCTGGAAAGCTGGGATTGTGCAGTAATCCTGAATTACATGCTCAAAAGAAATTCTTAATGATGAAAATGGGTTTGAACCTGGGGGTGGAAACGCCATCTGCTAGCCTATTTGTCTAGAAGCTCGATTAGGCGTCATTAAACGAAATCGTTTAAATACCGTTGCAGCTAATCACAGTGAAAGTGGAAGAAGTCGGGAAATCTTTGGAAAATGAGGATCAATGTAATTGTCTTAAATTATCACTACAGGTCGGTTGAATATGTGCAATGTGCATCAGCTGGTTTAAAACCGGAGGAAGTTCCACATATATCTACAGAGTGCACGTGCAATATTTGCACGTGATAGCACGGGTCTAGTGTGACCATAGGACTGCAGGTTTCCAACTGCATTCTCGACTTCAGGGTGTACAATCTTGGATAAGCGGAGCTGGAATGATTGATGGGCGGGGTAGCGGCAGAGGCAGAGGTGGAGGCTGGATGCACTACACTCAGTATTGACTTATAAAAACATCACTGTCAAAATGCGACAAAACATCTCCCCACCAGTATCCTGTAATCTTCTATTTTTTTCTTTTTGGCAAGATACAAAAACCCTGGTCTTGGAAACCATTCATGTTAAAGTGCCATTCGCAAACACTTAAAAACAAATATTGACGTAGAAACATCCGAATTCAGACCAGAACTCTGTCATTGTTCATGACAAGACTAACCCTCAACCATGAATTTATGAGATTCTCTTTCATGTTTTGAAGTAGACTTAAAATTTTCCATTATTTAGTATTCTCACCTCTTGGCAATACAATCTTCAAGCTGTAATGAAACAGGAACTTGCAATTTTACTAGAACTGAATATGTAAGGTTGGGTAGAGGTGCGGAATTTCAGATGGTTTACTGCATCGTACAAGTTTAAAGTGGGGTAGCGTGCATTTTCCAGCTCCAGATAATAAAAGAAAACCGGGTAACAACAACATTTCCCAAAAAAGAAAAGAAGAATCCCATACTGCCACGGTGAAATTGAAAGTCATCGTCAACAAAAATTTAATTACAAACCACTTCAGGTATACGTTGACTCGTCACATTTAAATTTCACAAATAAGAAGGCTATAATATTGTGTTATTGTATTTGTCGTTGAACACATGACAGTATAACACGTGATATTATACACGTGATATAACACACGTGACAGTATATATTTGTGAGAA